GAGCTTGCGAAGGTGCAAGCTCGTAGTGGGTCATCTTGTGCCACGTGCTCTCGGTGACTCTGAGCCCTGGCTTGTGCCAGCATAGTCCAGGGGACTTCCTTTCGCGTGTCGCGTGCTCGAGCGTGCTCTCGGGTGGAAAGGCGGCCAGTACTTGTACGTGAGGTACCTCCTTGTGTTCGTTGGTTGTTTGAGCCTTGGGCCTTTTCGTAAGAAATGGCTGGTGTTGGTCCAGAGACAGGGCAGCCCCCTCAGGCTGCTGGGGACCATGGCGGCGAGAGCCCAGGAGCGGCTCCTTCAGCCGCTGCGCTGCCGGCAGAAGGGCCGGTGACGCCAGAGGCTGTTCTCGCAAAGTTAGCAGAAGCAGTCGCGCAACTGGCTTCAGCAACAAGTGGACCTTCGGCAAGCGGAGGTCAGTGGAAGGAGAGCAAATGGATCAAGAGCCCAGAAGTGTTTCATGCTAGGAACCTGGATGAGGAAGTTGCTTTGTGGCCAGACTGGTCTTTTGGCTTTAAGAACTTCATGGCAGTTCAAGATGATGAGTACAGAGGTGACTTTGAAAAGGCTGAGAAAGCCACAGCATGGGTCTCCTTCGAGCACTACAGTCCGGCTTTGAGGGCACGTTCTTTGAGATTGTACTCGGTGCTTGCTTCGTATTTAAAGGGCCGTGCTTTGAAAATCCTTCGGGCAACAACTAATGGTGATGGGTTTAGGGTGTGGAGGCAGCTCACGGAAGAGTTGCAGCCTACCACGCGTCCCAGAACTTTGGCGCTAGCCCAGGCCCTCACAAAGTTTCCTCCTCTACGAGATGGTGGCTCAGTGCTGGAGTACACCTTAACGTTCGAGAAATTGATCTCGGAGTATGAGCGGGCTTCCTCCCAAGTCTATCCCGACGACCTCAAAATAAGTACTCTTCTTAGTGGCTTGCCCCAGGATGTGAAGCGTTTCTTACAGCTACAGATAGATGACACAACCACTTACCAGAAACTCCGGGGGATCCTCTTGCAGTTTGAGCGCACATCGGCTACCTGGAGCAACGAATACATAATGAAAGCCATAGGCCTTGAGAAGAACTCCTACCCAGGAGATGGAAACAACCCCGTGCCGATGGACGTGGACCGCGTCGAGGGCAAGGGCAAAGGGAAGGAGTTCAAGGGAAAAGGCAAGGGTCAGCAGGACAAAGGCAAAGGCAAAGGCAAGTGGTTCCAGGACGGCGGCAAGAAGGGCAAGAATGGCAAGGGGTATTCCTTCGGTGGCTTCGGTGGCTTCGGAAAAGGTCAGCAGGACAAAGGCAAAGGCAAGGGCAAGTGGTTTCAAGACGGCGGCAAGAAGGGCAAGAAGGGTGGTTTTGTGAAGGGACCTTGCTTTCTTTGTGGTCGCATGGGTCATCGAGCAGCTGAGTGCAGAGGTCAACGTGTGAATCAAGTAGAAGATGACTCTGCGTCTGTGGGCACTAGGGCCTCTTCCTCGACTACTCGAACAGCCGCAACAGCAATAACAGCCCCAACCTGAACAGCAGCCAAGGTGAATCGCCTCGAGTTGAACAGCATGCCGCTGATCGAGGAGCTCCCGGATGACCTCGACGACACCTTCGGGGCTTGCCTTGGCACTAGATCTGTTTCGGAGTTCGGATTTTACGAGGGCACCGAAGCTTGGGATGAAGAAGCTTGGGGTGAAGAAGAGGATTGGTGGGACTATGCTGAAGTTCCTGCCGACGCTTATGAGTATATTCGTGCAGTTCGTGTGAGTGATGCGTGGTGCAGTGGAGAGAAGAGCGAGCTGAATGGAGAGTTTGTGTGCGAGCCCGTAGTTGACTTCAGCGAGTGCGAGCTTCCTTCTTCAAGCACTTTGTGTTTTGAGCTTGATCGTGATGACAGTGGGGATGAGTTTGTCCGAGCTGAGCGTGAAGTGCGTGCAGTGACAACTGGAACAAACCTAGTTGAGCCCTGCGAAGTGATCCTGGACTCAGGTGCCGACATCACTGTGCTTCCCGCGCACCTCTTCGGGTCCGTGGGAATCCCCGAGGAACAGACCGCACAGCTGTTGGACGCTCAAGGCACGCCGATCCCGCAGTTCGCACAGCGTGCCAATGTGTCGTTCATTGTAGAGAGTCGAGATGGGCAAGAGTTTATTTTTAGAGACCGTGCAGTCTTGGCAAGAGTGAAGCAGCCTCTCTTATGTGCCGGGAAGTTGTTTCGTGGTGGCTGGTATCCAAGACCGAGTTCAGATGAAGATGGGTCGTTGGTGATGTGCAAGGGTGATCAGGAGTTCCCGATCTACTTTTCACGAAACTCTATTGCCTGCAGCATGCGCATCATGAGAACTGAGGAGGTTTGCATTAGGGCTGTGATCGAAGTCAGCAACAACCTCGCTGAGTTGAAGCGGGCAGGCTGGCAAGTCACGGAAGGGTCCACCCCAACACACGTGCAGATGAGCTCGAACATGACAGTGGACCCCAGTTCTCTTTATGATCCTGCAGTCCTCCCACATCGTACTACGTTGGTGCACAAAGGGGGCAATCGTTTTGAGATCTTTGAGTGCGGTGAGTTTTGGGAGCTGAAGCCTCCAATGGACATAGGATGCGAGCCCACTAAGATCGTGACGTTGTTGACCCGTGGCCCATTGGAACCTGCAGATCTAGGAAAGCCCGTGGAAGAGAGAGTTGGCGTTGTTCCCAGGTTCCAAGATGCGCCGGGGCGTGAAGTCCCGCAACCTGAAGCTGTGGTGGATGGTACTCCTGGTGATCCACAGCAAGGCGCGCGAGTTGGGCCGGAGATGCAAGAGATTCCGCTTGAAGGTGAAGTTGTGAAGCTTGGGGATAAGGAGGTCAGAGAGACTTCGAGTTTGCGTGATTTGCGTTGGGCGTGCAAGTACCTGCGCATTCCTCATACTGGTGCAAAACATGTTTTGTGGACACGCTTGCAGAAAGAGGTTGCCTTGAACAAGTTGAAGGTCGCAGTGCAGGCGAGTGATGCAGTCATAGCAGAGTACACTCCCGATGTGAATCACGGTCCTCTTCCTCAGCGGCCGGACGCGCAAACGGTCATGCTTCATGAACTTACGCATCTGCCTAGAGCTGACTGGTGTGAGAGTTGTCAAGCTGCGCTTTCACGTGAAGATCCGCACAGAGAAGTGCAGCCGAAGAGAGAGGTGCCGGTCATTTCAGTAGATTGGATGTTTAACAGAACTGGTGATGCCGAAGATGAAGAGCACCCCTTGACTACCCAACTTGTTGCAGTCTGCCACTCTACGAAGTACGTGGTCTGTGTCCCTGTTCGTTCGAAAGCAGCCGAGGACAACAAACCTGCTGTGGAGGAGCTTGTCAAGATGGCATCGATCCTTGGCTATGCAAAGGTGACGTTCAGGGGAGACACAGAACCATCAATGCTGAAGTTGCTCCAAATGGTGCAGATGGCAAGGACTCGCTTAGGGTTGGAAACAGAGGTTGAAAGGGCACACCCAGATTCTTCAGAGCATCAAGGCGTGAGAGCTGAGCGGTACATCGATAAAGTTCGTCGTCTTGGTCTATGTCTTTTACACACCGTTGCTGCCAATTCGAAGTATGTCATCAAGTCAAGCCACCCAATCTACCCGTGGGCCTTTAGGCATGCCGCGTTTCTTCTCACGCGGTACCATGTGCACAGTGATGGCGTGAGTTCGTATGAGCTTGTCCATGGTCGGAAGTACGATGCGAAGATAGCAGCTTTTGGGTCGGTGGTTTTCAGCCAGATGCTTCCCAAGCCCAAGACCAAAGGAATCCCGTGGGAGAAGTGCATATACCTTGGCCGCTCAACAATGGGTTCGTTGAGCATTGTGTCCACAAGCAAAGGCATAGGCTACGCACGAACAGTTCGAAGAGCAGCTGAAGCCTATCAAGCAGATGCTTTGGTAGCCATGCGAGGCGTTCCTTGGGATCCGGTCCTAGATGTTGTGACCATGCGTGTTCCGCGAGCCCCCCGACTTAGAGTTCCCGAGCTCGTGGAAGCAGCGCCGGATGTACCTGCAGCATCCGGCCCTGGGGCCGGAGACGAAGCTGGTACAGATCCTCCCACTTCCATTGCTGAGAGCCCTGGAGAAAGCATCTTAGACGGTCTTAGTGGTTCGGGCTCAGATGAGTTGATTCCAGCAGCCATGGATGTGAGTAGAGTGGAATGCTTTCCGGTGAGAGTTATCAGAGACGATCAGCCCCACGGGCATGAGGATGATGATGTCGTTTGTGAGCCCGAAGAAAGCTTGGAACCACAAGGTCAAGATGACTTTGAAAGTGAAGAAGAAGCCCCTGAAAGCTCTGAGCCGGAGAAGGGTGATGCAGGAATGCCGTGGGAAGGCAGAACGTATGCTCAAGGACCACCTGAGCTCGAAGCCCAGGTGCTACAGGAGCTCGACAAGCAGATGGAGCTGAAGGAGCTCGACCGCCTCCTTGGCATGAACGTACTGCGGCACATGACTGGTGAGCATGAGAGAGATGACAAAGTACGTTTGCAGTGCAAGTACGTTCTAGATTGGCGGTTTCGAGGTGGTTGGGTTCGGCGGGCTCGTTTGGTTGCCAAAGAGTACAGATTCTTGGAGCCGTCGTTGACGGATCTGTACAGCCCCGCTTCGGTGGCTTCAAGCCATAAACTTTTGGCGTGCCTTGCTGCAGGGAACGACTCCCTGGAGCTGGTGTCATTGGACATCACCGATGCTTACTTGCAAGTTCGACAGAGAAGGCCAACGTACATTCAGACCCACCTTGGAGACCTCGAACTGTGCTACAACTTACCAGGCCAGCGAGCAGGAGCAAAAGATTGGTTTACCCACCTGCTTGGCATTCTTAAGAAGCGTGACCTCAAGAGCTTTGATGGCAACCCCGCGTTGTTTGGTCAAGAGCAGAACCTAGCCCTCAACAGCCATGTCGACGATTTGCAGATTTTGGGTTTGAAAGGGGTTCCCATGAAGCTAGCCGATGCCCTCAAGGAGGAAGGTTTGAAGGTGAAGGTAGATGGACCAGTTGGTTTGGATGGTGGTTATTCGCACTTCTTGAAGAAGAAGTTTCAAGGGCTCGGTGGTGCAATCGAGGTGACCCAGGACACAAAGTATGCTGAGAGGTTGCAGTCAATCCTTGAGTTGGAAAAGGCCCATGGCAAGCAAAACCCGTGTCCTACAAAAGTTCCCCCTCCAGGCGATGGCGAAACCTTAGATGCAGAGCACCTTCACCTATACAAGCGTTGCGTGGGCATCCTCATGTACATGAGTGCGGAGAGACCAGACTTGCAGTACATTGTGAAGGTTTTGTCTTCAAGGAGTAGTTCACCTACTGTTTCAGACTATGGGCTATTGCGTCACGTTGTGAAATACCTCAAGCTCCACCCAGTGATCCCCATCGTGTTAGAGAAGACAGTGCCGGGGAGAACGTTGGCACAGAAGTGGAAAGGAGTAGAGCCCGATGATTCTGTTAGCCCTAGCATGCCGTTTGGAGCAAAACACATTGTGGAGGTAGTGACAGATGCCGATTGGGGCAGCCAAGCCTTTTCCGAAAGGAGATCAATATCCTCGTATTGCATCTTCGTTAACGGCAACCTGTGCCACGCAGGCAACAGGGTGCAGAAGGTGATCAGCTTGAGCTCAGCGGAGAGCGAGCTGATGGCAACGCTGCTCGGACTCTCGGAAGGCATCTTCATTAAGGGCATGCTGGAGTTCTTGGTGGGGCCTCAAGCCGAAGTGAAACTTGTGCACATGGTGGACAACTCTGCCACTCGGAGCATCCTTCAGCGGCAAGGTCTAGGACGGACGCGTCATGTAAGTCTAGGCTACTTGTGGGCCCAGAAAGCGTTGAATGAAGGTGTGTTTGAGACAAAAGCCATAGCAACAAAAGATTGTCCAGCAGACTTGCAGACAAAGCCACACTCCCGTTCGAGATTGACATACCTCCTGAGCCTCATGGGTGCTGGTGGTAGGGTGGCCATGGAAAGCCGAGTGGCCTCGACTACCATCAATGCAGGTGCTGGTCAGATCCTTAGGGCTTTGGCCGTTTTCCTCGAGGGGGGTGTCGTGACAGGGCAGCTTGTAGCCATGGAAGGTGATGCAGTCGAAGATGGCAACGAGGGTGTTTTTACCATGTGGTATGTCATGCATATGTTCACCCAGCTTAACGTGACCGTGATGTTTCTGGTGATCTTCGCGGTGATGGTTGGAGTTCTGATGTGTATGGCGCCGCGCAGGCGATGGAACCGTCAGGGTGATGGCAATGCTCAGCCATCAAACCAGAACGAGCTCAGAGACAGGATCCACACGTGGTTTGCACATGAGCTTCGGGACGAGCTTAACCCCACAACTTCAGTTGAGAACCAAAGCGCAGTGCCACCTGAAGAAGATGATTATGAGCGATGGTTGGTGTGTAATGAGCCGCAGCCGAACAGTGATGATGACGCAGGTGGAGCTGCCCAAGCATATTTGGATTCATTCGTTCCAGATGAAGCTTTACTTCAACAGTTTGAAGACAGGAGTGAAGTTGCAGAAGAGCCTCGGGATCAGATGCCCGTCTCCCCAGAGAGAGAGTTCTACATGATTGGTGAGCCGCGTTCAGGGAAGGGGTATCACACCCCACAATGTGGACAAGTACGCAAATGGCAGAGATCCCTTCCTTCCAATCTTCGTTTGGCCAAACTCTCGCTGCTTGAGAGTTACCGCATGAAGCCGTGTAAGCAGTGCAAGCCCTATCCGCTGGATCAGTGATGCCAGGGATCCTCTTCGTGGTCTTCGGTTACCAGTGTGGTGGCTCCTTGGATGATCTCGTGAGTTTGTGCATCGAGCTCATTTGATCGATGAGGTGTGATTTCTCCAGAGAGGAAAGACGCTTTTGGGATGCAAAGCATTCGCGCATTTATATCCTCTTCTACAGTAGAGTTTCTCCTTAGACATAAGCCTGTAAATCTTCAAACAGCTGTCCCTTGTGCAAAGAGCCTGTAGGTGTGTAGTGTTCAACAGGTGAACTTCAGTTCTCAGTTTGGAGAGGTGGATGAAACATCCACGGAAGCACTTGTTTTGTGTGGAAAGCACATGAGAGGATCCTGTGCATTCCAAGGGGGGTGACAAAACTTTAACTCACCCTAAAC